GGTCTTTGGTAGTTCAGCTGGGTGAAGCAGTCTTCACTTGTGCAGATCAGTGTCATTCCATGTATGTGAATGAAACAATTCAGCAGATGAGGTTTTCTTGTTCTCTTTCAATATTCTCAGTTTTAACCCCTGTAATGATCTTTATTCTTTCTGTCTCTGTCATAACATAGAAAGGGTACAATAAAGATTTCTAGTTACGCTAATTTGTTTGATACAATCCCATGGATTTTTTATTACTCTTTAGTGAATATATTCTCAGTTTGTGCAAATATCTCATAACAGTTATGGTAGGGTGTGCTGAAGGATTAGATATTCAAGAACAAATGAGAATTTGGAAACTTGAGGGAGGAGAAACAATTCTGGACTGTGGAATTAGCATATTGACTAAATACTTTTGCTGCATGGAGAAGTGGGTATTGGGAAATACTGGAGATTCTTTAGACTTTGTAGTTTTCAGTGAACATGTCCTCCTGTAATGTGTATTTTGAAGATGATTTTCACCATCAAAATAGCCAAAATAGCTATTTCTTGGCTCTATTTTTAAAAAATAAAGAAAAAAATAAAAAGAAAGCTCACATCCTGGATTAGAGTTGTGCTGTAAGTAGCCAGCTTTGTGATGGGTTTTGCTGTAGAGCAATAAACAAACGTGATATAGCACAGTTTGTGAAACCTGGATGCATGGCATACTAGGTATGGTGATGACAGCTTTTTTAGCTCTACAAGTACAGAACTACATACTGCACAACCTCCAAGTACATATTCAGAGCCCTACTCAGCACTGCTGATGGCATTGTGAAACAAAAAAATACCCTTCTTAATGTAGCTAGCGTTGATATTTTTATTTCCTTAAAAAGAAATCTGGAATACTTCCCAGATGAGATATGTGTGCCTCTAACTTCAGAGAATATGACTGTTCTAAGAGACTGTAAGTAAAATTAATACTAGAGGACTTTCTTGTTCTCTTAGAATATTCTCATTTTAGTTCTCCTATTGATCTTGGTTCTTTCTGTCTCTATTAATGCATAACAGGGATAACAGGGGCACAAATCCAAAGCAAAAATATGTTTATTTTTGTGCATTGATTCTTAATTGGCTCAAGATCATGTAATGATGGACAACAAATGGTGAACTTGGGTAGGCTAATTCTAGCTGAATGCTCATTGAAAAAGAAACTAATAAGAATATTTAAATTCACTTAACTATATAACTATTTCACATCTTAACGGATTTTTATTTTAGGAGATTTTGTGAGGATCAGACACAGACAACAGTGAAGGGGATATTTTAGAGACATTTATGACACAGCTGTATGTAGGAAACATTTTAGAGCTCTGCAAGGGAGTCCGTTTTACAAAGGCTGGACCAGACGAGATGTCTAATTTGGAATGTGTTGTTTGTGTTGCCTACAAAGTGAATTCAAGATGTTTGGTGAACCTCTTATCACTGGTGGTTTATCAGATATAAGTCAATTACACTGTACTTTTCAAAGATTGTTTTTCAGTGAAGGATGTAAACATGTTACTTGCTTTGCTGAGTTAAGAAAAATGTTGAATTTGGGATAGAAATCTGGTTTCCACATATTTTCAGATTTTAGTGATAATTAGTCTTTATAAGGAACCAACACCTTTCCCCTCAAAATGAGCAATGGCAAATTTGGGGTGATCAAGTTATGTATCTTTTTCTGCTTTGGTGGGTTGAAGAGTACTTGCAGAGTGCTAATTTGTGAAAGATTTTTGCATTTCATCAGTTCTTTGGATGCTTTTTTCTTACTGGAAATCTTCACTGTGGCTTACATTTAATCTGTATTCAAATTAATTATTGCAAGAGGTTTTGCCCTTCTACATGACTTATTGCTGCTCTTTGGCTGACCAGTGGTCCATGGTCAGCACTCAGATCTCCAAGAGGCCTAAAACATGTAGAATATGTAGAACACTTTGACATTTGGGGAGGTCAAATTGAAGAGGTTGGAAGGAGTGTTTTGACTTGCAGGAGAGCATTTAATGCCCATTTACGTTCAATTGTTATCCACATTCAATTGTTAATGATTGTTATCCACTTTAAAAAAAGACCTGTTTTGTGCTACTGGTATCTACTGTGTAGCAACCAAACAAGAGTCATCTCTTAAACCTTCTCAGAATATTGGCTTCACTTCCAGTTCTTTCCTTTGTCCTGTCTTTGTGTGTTTCAGAACTCTGAGATGCTACTCCATAAGCTAATGAGTGGTAACAGAAATCTTATGGTAAGCAGAAAGCCCTGCTAACGTGACACTTGAGAAAGTTTCCGCTAACAAAGATTGGTCCAGAGGCATGATTTCCAGGTGACAGGTACTTAATCATCTTCTAGGGTAAAGAGAGGGAAGCACTAGCTTTCATCTTCATCTCATGCTGAACTTTTGGGAGTGGACATGCATACAATCCATGAGAACTAGAACTCAGGATCTGAGGGAAAGCTTTGAATTGATATCTGAATTTTGCTGTCTTCCTGCTTTCAGATTTGAATGCAATAGGGTCTGCCACTGGTGTTTCCAATCTGGCAGATTTTCAGGCCAGATTCAGAACCTGTGTTTGGTGTGAACACTGACTTAAAGACCCAGGTGAATTTTCATCTGACTAATCAAAGTGATTCACTCTACTGCATTCCTACATGTGTTGTGGAGATGAGTGGTCTCCTACTCACAGTAAAGTAAGGTTGTGTGTTTTCTTACATGTCTTTTTGCCATAACAGACGCTACCTGATCTGGTATACTTTCATCTGAAAAGTGTTAAGCCAAAATTCATGTGTTTGCTGTGGACATATATAGGTGGGATGTAGCTATAAATTGGTATTATATGATGACATTTTTTTTGTCATGCATTTTTTTTTTTTGGCAGAGAAACTGGTTGTAGTAGTTCTAAGCTGTTTGATGTGATATTCTGGGAAATTTGAGTTTGATTAAAACAGTCTGAGGATTACAGTGGGTATTAGTATTAACCAATTACAAAAAGAATCCTGACAAATTACATGTCAATCTCTTCCCAGCTGTGGCTGTTGAAATTCAGATCCAGATGCAAGATTGGAGTCTTGCTATGCTGAAACACAGTGACAAAAACCAATGGTATTCTCTGTCTCTTAGCTAGCAGTTAATTGAGCTCTGTGGTTCAAGTATCTCCTCAATGATCAGGAGTTCTTAACTGTTCACATTTTTCATTCCTCCCATCACCTGAGAAGGCTTGTCTATTGTTAAACCAAGCAGCAGTGACTTCCTGGTAAAAATTGGATTAAACAAAGCAAAATCTTGTTCTGTGAGGTCTTTTTAATTCTGTTGCAAAAGTTTTTCTAGCTCAGTTATGAGCAGAAAAGCTAGTGTCACTTTGTACAGCATTTCACTGCCAAGCTCTTAAAAGCAGTGCAATTGGAAATAGTAAAGACCTGGGAGGTCACCTAATAAAGGCTATTCCCAAGCAGGATTTTTCCCTATAGTCTATAGTCTCTAGAGTTTTTAAAAAAATCCCTCCATTAATAGGGCTCTACTTGTTTCTCTTGGGAAATTTTTGCCTGTGGAAAAGGTTTCACAAGAATTTTTTCCTATTACATGATAAATCAAAATTCAAGATTCAGTTACAAGTGCAGAGATCCTTGGTGAAAAGTTGTGCTCCCTTACACAAACTCTTGTATAGGAAAGATAGCTTCATCTTTCTGAGCACTGTTGCTGCTGTTGGCATGTCTGATGAACAGTTCTTTTCTCAGTGGGCCTGATCAGAAGTCGCTTGAATTTAGCATCCATTTTCCTGGAGCACCGAGCTGCTTGGGGCAGAGCAGAACAAACCCCTGTTTTTTAGATCTGCTGTGAGAAGTAATCTCTCTCTGCTTCCAGCCACAAACTACGGGCCCAGGCTGCCTGCAGAGGTGGGTGCAGGATAGACAGACTCACACTTGGCTTCAGGGGAACAGTGTCAGGCCCTGAGTGGTGCCTCCCCCTGTCACTTACTATTGTCTTTTCTGTTTATCCTTTATTTTTGTTCTAATATCAGCTGTCATAACAAGTTTCCTTCAATTCAGGGCCAGTCCTAGGACTGAGTATTAGAAGATGCACATTTTGTAATTCATCGGAATTTGGTATTCAGATGTATCTCCTATACAGAAGAAAAAAAGATCAGTAAGAATATAATGGAGAGGCAAGAGCCTAGAGAAACTTAGAAACAGATCTGCAGACTAAGCATGCGACAGTTGGCTTGTACTGGCATTTCCTTGAAATGAATTTGAGCTACTAAACTACTGGGTTCACTTCTGTTCGCAGCTGGTATAAGAACAGAGGACTGTAAATGAAGCCAGTGGAGTTATACTGAGTTTAGGCTAATGTTAAACATCCTGGGTAGTGCACCTATTTAAATAATTTATTATGTGATTCCTTTTTGAAAAGTACTCCAGTTATTTCCCCCCCAAAAAAGTTATTCCATTGTGTTCTTCTTCTAATAGTTTTATCCTTCTCTTTTCTCTCTCATTTATATTTTTTAAACTTCTCAAACCCCTATTGTGTGCTTCAAAGGTGTAGCCAGATTTTCAAATTTGTGCAGATTATTCCACTTTACCTACCATCAAAGGGCAGCCCCTCTGGCAGCTGCTGTTGCCTGACTTGTGAGTGTTCAGGGTCACGATTAGAGAGGAGCTGTACTTCTCTACCCTCGTCTCAGTATCCTGTTTCAGGTATCAGGTGTACATTCACCCCTGGAAATGGGTTTCCATTCAGGTTGGATCAGGTCCTGGCCTGACTGCTTGAGCTCATTCTGACAGATGTTTTCTTCAAGAGTCCGTCATCAGCAGTACTAGGAGACCAGCCACCCCAAAATCCATTTTGCCTTTGATTTAACAGAAGCTAAAGAAAATGCTAAAGCATCAGACACTTCATATATGTTTTTGTTGGTGGTTTTTGTTGGTGGTTTTTGTTAGTATTTTGGGGGTTTTGGTTTGTTTTTTTTCTTGTTTGTTTGTTTTTCTTAAAGACTGGCACTTCTTCCTCTGTGGTGATTCAGTCAGGCCTTTGTTGAGGTTTTAGGGTGTTACAGATCTCAGACTACCACTCTCCAAAGAGTTGCTCTTGCTAAAGGGAAGCATTCTTATTTAGCTTCTTGGGTTCCTTTCAATCACTCTGCAGAGAAGTGAGTTATCTTGCCTCATTTGTTACTGTTCTGTTCAGTTTTACAAAGAGCCTTCATTTAAGGTAAACCTAAACTGTAAGTACCTCAATAATCATGTCAATATTCAATGTTCTTTAATAGTTGAGGGATAAAGCCAAGGCATTATACTGACTGCTTCTGAAAAAGCAGACCAGGACATGAGCTGATGTTTCCAAATCAGTAGATGTTTCTGAAAAATCAGTTGCATATTTCCAGCTTCTTTTTAACCTTGCTGAGTGTTGAATATTAGTCTCTCTCCGAGACAGTCTGTCAGAAGTAGACAAGTATCTTTGTATAGCCATGTCCTCAGGAAGCTATCACCATACCTTTGAAAAACTCCTTGGCAAAGTGAGTGTTAACATTAAATGCTGGGCATTTTAGAAGGTGTCGTCAAGACAAGCGTAGGACTGAATTCCACACCTGGGATATAGAAGATGCTGCGAGAGGCCAAAGGAAGCGAAGACAGCAAACCAACAGAGGAATAAAATGAATCAGGTGTAGGAGGAGGAGCAATGATGATGACTGAAAATAGCGCAGGCCCTGGTTGTGAAGGTAACTGTGACAAGACATAGCTTACTTTTTATTCCAGAGGGACCTCTAAAAAGCAGCTATGCATAAGCATCACTAAAAGACCAACTCTAAGTCTTAATCTGATCCCTTGGTCCATGTGCCTATAATTAAAACCAGAAGTGAAATCTCTGGTGCTTTGTGGACAATACCTAAGCCTGGTGTGCTAAGTCTGCATCCTATATCTTCTAAGGTGAATAGGGTAATATTCTTCCTATAATTTGTTACTTATAGCTTGGATCAAGAACAATTCACTTTCTAAAGGTTTGCTGTTTTAAAAACAACAATCACAAAGCATTAAAGAGCTTCAGATTACAAGATTCTGTGAAAAGCTTTGTCTGCTTGGTGTTTTACACAGACCAGTATAGCTTTCCTTGTGGATTTATAGCAACCACCTCTGAGGCAAAGACAATGAAATGACCAAGGTTTTCCCTGTAGTTCCTCTTCCCTTGTGCTATGTCTCATACGTAAAGATCATCAGACTTCAGGTTATTAATTGCTTCTCAATTAGTTTGAAATCCTCTGGATTCATACCTCGTTCTTTTTTAATGCTTAGCCTTTTTTTTTTTTAATCTTCTAGCACTATAAGAAGTGTGGGCTTGGGGGCTTTACTCAAAGTTAAATTAAAATCTTGTCTTTTCATTGTGGGCTGTGTTCTGTGCACGAGCTGTCTCATTGAATGTACGTCTGTGTAGCATTCTGTGAGTGGGTGCCTGGCACCTGCTGTGTATCAGTAACTTTATACAGGGGTGCGGGCTGTATCATGTATCCCAGCTGGTATTTCAGCCTCTTCTTAATGTCTGAAGAGTTTTAACTGGATGGAAAGCCAACTTCAAGTTTGACAATTTCAGTTTACAGGAGCTGATGCTGAACACAGAGCAAAGGGCACACTGGGCTTTGTGTCTGTGCATATTCAACAAACGAGCAACATATTTTCATAGGTTAAAAATGGACATTTTCCACATCCTCAGATACAAAATAGATAAAATATGTGAGCTAACCTTGAACCTCTTCAGCTTGTCTCCTATGCCTGTGCAGAGGCTCTGCTCCTCTAAAGTGGAAAGGAAGAGGTGTCTATGTTACTGAAGGCTTCCAGGACATTGGAGTGGTGTGGACTGATGTAGGTACATTTTTGTTTAAAAAAGAATCTATCTCTCAATGTGTTAAAACTGCACCTCATCCTGTGCTCTCACTCAGAGGAAGGAACTGGAGTTCAGCTGGCACTGGACTCTACTATTTTGGCTGATAAGGTTCAGTGTAAACAAAAGCAGGTCTGTGAATTATCTGGCATGAGAATCAGTTAGGGGTGCTGTCTTCCTATAGCCTTAATCTAGTTGGCCTAAATGATTTATAAACTGGCAACATGATAAATGTTGTTTTAAGTGGACAAATCACATAGAAGAGGTGTAACTTTCTGTCAGTATGTAACATGACCACCTTTCTAAGGGGAAGAATAACAATCACAAAGAGCAGTAAGGGTAACAGGATCACAAGTAGGCATATTCCTTCTCTACAGCATAAATCATTACAAGGGTACTTCTTTCTTTCCTCTTTGCTTCTCCTTCTTTGTCCTTTCCTTCCGACCCCTCACTCCACTACCCCCCCCCCCTTTTTTTTTGGTGGTATTTTCTAGCACCTCCATATCATTTTGGAAAGCTAAACCCTCCACTTGATTTGTGCTACAGTTTCTTCATAAATCTATGAAGCTTGTCTCCATCAACCTGTATTTTCCATTAAAATATGGTTCCCAGGTGATTTCCAATACTATGAAAAACATGTAGCCATAAGTCTTTCACTGATTGTTTATTATCTGTTTAGGTGCTCCTGAGGATTTTGACAGCTAGGACTTGTATCATATGTAATGTAATAAAAGTGGATGTCTTCAGCATAACAGGGATAGCTGGCCTTTCATTTCTGTTTGCCAGGGCTATATTTGTTTTGTATATGTTTGAGGTTTTTTTAAATGTGAAACTTTGAGTCTACTCCAAATCAGGTCAGTTTAAACTTTGTGTTTTCTTTGCTATATAGTTGAACAAAAAACTCTAACAAAAAGCCGAACAAAACACAACAAAAGCTTTCCTGCTATAAACAGCACAGGAAGCAGTAACCACAAAGCTAGTATTTACTCTGGTGGAGGAGTAGACTTAACTTGAGCTGATTCCCAGCATGAACATGCTGTTCCACCTCTGCTTGCCGGAAATGAAGCAGGACATTCTGTATGTCTGTCTTGGATATGTGTAACAAGCATGTTGTGGGACACAATGTATAAACCTCCTCATAGCAGATGCAAGAGGTTAATTGCTTTAAGCTACTGGTTTGTGGTAAGTTTGTCAAAAGTGGTAGGAACTGGTTAATAACGTCTACCTGTAGGCAAAAGTGCCACTCTTTTGCAGGCAGTTACCTCTGGCCTTAAAGGGAACTTTGTATTAGGATTACAGGATCAGCCCGTATGCAAGCACTGATTATCTGGTGGTACACAGTAAGGCTGGGAAAGGAATAAAACCTTACCTAAACTCCAACAGCATACTGTGAGTTCAGTTTGTTCAGCCTGTATATACCACCTCTATTACCAAAAAGAGGTGTTGCATTTTCCTGACCTCTGTGCTGGCAGGTTCAATACATTGCAAGAAAAATCGTAGGTAGCCTGGCAGAGGGGGCTCTGGAGGGCTCTTGCTTAGGGAACTTGTCAGGGATGGTCCCATCAAAGAGGGAAGGGAAAGAAGAGACTGTCTTGGAGGTGGGCTAGTATTGAAGAAGAGGGCTAGCATGTCTTTGCTGATCCTGTTCTTAATATCAAGGCCAAGCTCATGTGTTGCCTCATATTTTACCCATTGGTAGCACAGGGAAGTATTGATTAGTATTATAAGCCTGTGCGGGACTCTGAAGGAAAATAACTAGTAATTATTAACAAGGTTTATAATTTAAAGGTTGGCTTTATAATAAGCAAGCAAAATTATTTACTATGGCTAGAAAAACTACTCAGCTTGGATTCCAGTGCCTTTATGATATGAAATGTGCTCTCCCTGCCCTGCAATGAGATGTCCTTCCCAATGGTATTCATGCAGTGTGGTTAAGTAGATTTGATGTAACCTTGGGTTTGCATTGTATCTTCTCAGTTGGACCTCAGAACTGGTTGTCCAATGAGAAACTACCGTTTCCTAAATGCTTGGTAAAGCACTTAATTGTGAAAATAACTAGTTTACCTCACAACATCAATTTGAAAAATTACTCATTAATTTTTGAGGTGCAGCCACCTTCCCTGGAGGACAGAACTACTGATCTCATCTCTGCTTAAAAACCTTGGCTTTGTTTGCTAGCAGGCGTGTCTGATCTGCAAATGAAATTTGGCTTACCGTCTCCGTTTCCTTATAAACACCCTTGACTGCACCTTTGGCAGAACACATGACAATTAAACAGTTGTGGCTTATACTCTGTAGGCTGAGCAGAGCTGGCAGGGAAGAGTTTAGATGATTAGCACACCACACAGAAATGTTTCCCTCTACTTTCCAGTGGCACTTGCTAAAAAAAGTAAAGTTGAAACTCTGAAAGGGCTAAGTGAACTTAAAAGGTTTGGAGTTTAGGTTTCTTTCTTACTATTTATATATATTATTATTAATATATCATTGTTTAAGCCTAAATTATCTATTCAGCTGTTAGACAAATAAGTCAACATAAATGGAGCACAGGGATTTGAGGAGATGAAATCTGAATCAGAACCACTACCTGAGAAATGCTTTCTTTGACTACAAACATTCTAATTCATCCCAATCTTGTTTAAATATACTGGATGGTCCAAATCTGTCAGAGGCAGTTAACAGCAGAGTGCCACTGGTGGAAACCCCATTGGTTAGATATGCTAGACACGTTTTTTTGCTCTTTGAGATTATATTTGCTCAAAACTGAACCTTAACTGCTGAAACATGATTTATTTTTAGTAGGGTTTTTTTTTTTAATATATTTTGTTTTCAAAATAAAATTTTGTTGGATCTTTGTTTCCACTGGATGCTGGCCATCACTAGCTAAGTAATTCCACATGGAGACCTCTTGTTTCCTCAGTACTTATCTTCTGTATTGCTTTTAGCCTACAGAATTGCCATTTTCTACTCTCAGTCTTGACTGCAGGGATTTCATCTTCTGAAAGTCAGCCCTCTTTTTGTCCACAAAGTCCAAGAAATGTTCCAAGGCGTACCAGGGAGATTGAACAGGGATGTCCTGAGATTTCCCAAAGCTGTGCATAAAGTGTACAAAGGTTCTTAATTCCATTAGTTGAATGGCTTCCAAATTTACTCCCAATGTGTTCCTTCATCCTTAGTTTATAATTTTAGCACTGATTCAGTCCTGAAATTAAAACCTCTTAAGGAGCAAAGGCTGATGCAGATAAAACCCTCTGGGTTATGATGCATTCATTTAGAGCTAAATGGCCCGCTTGTTAATGTCATTTGCCTTATGACCAATTACTAGATATTTCCTTATTAAGGAGAAAATCACTTTTTTTCAAGTGTTGTAAACTAGCTTAATAGCACTTCACCTTCTTATGCATTAGAGTAGTTGGAAAAAGTAAGTTGGGAACAGAGGGTGCACTTACTGGCCATTTCAGCATTTGAGAGGGTCCTTTTATTTTATTTTTAAATGAAAGTGGATAGTCAGATTATTTGTATTACCTCAGTAGGGACATTAAAACCTCAAGATGTTGGAGCCTCAGCTCTGACCCTCTGACAGGATATTATTACTGAATGTCATGGTGATCCTGTTTTTGGGCTTACAAGACTGTACCCACCAGCTCTGGAGAAAGAAAAAGCTTCAGTTTCACTGGTTGTCTTTCTTGCCCTGACCTTCCTTTCTAAACCAGGCCTATAAGGCCTGTTCCCACCTGTCCTAGTGAACCAGTCTTTCTTGGCTGGAAAGGACTACACAAATTTGGAAGCAACCTGCTTCATCCAGTGTTGAGCATCCACATTATACCGTTCTTTTTTTACATAAGGTCCTGGGATTATATGGCCTGCACTATTCCTCTTGTGTCTCCTGGGAAATTGTTTTTCTCAGCTTTCCCAGATCACTTACTGCCCTTTTTCTCTTCACAGAGAAGGATAGTTGCTTTATACTCTGGGTGTTTGCATGCAGCATTCTGTATTACTGTATATATTCGCAATTTTAGACAACAGCCTTCTTTTTCTAGTTGAGCAAACTGTATGC